GCCTCTCACTGTTGTGGCCTCTCCCGTTGCAGAGCACAGGCTCCGGACACGCAGGCTCAGCGGCCATGGCTCATGGGCCTGCTCTGCGGCATGTGGGATCTCCCCAGACCGGGGCACGAACCCATGTCCCCTGCATCAGCAGGCGGACTCTCAACCACTGCGCCACCAGGGAAGCCCAGAGGAGGTATTTTTTACTACAAGATACAGTGGGAGTGTGTGGCTTCCTAGAGGTCCTTGCACAGCGCCCTGTGGGCTGCTTGCAGGCCAGTTTCTGCATCATCCAGGAACTTGGCCTGATCCAGTGAGGAAGTCTTTAATAGGATAAATATCATGTGGAAAATTGCCAGTGAATAATAATATTACAAGAAGTCTTATGAGCATCTGCTGTGTACCGAGGAGTGGAAGTGATTTGAGGCCATACCCTTGCCATCAGGTACATTCACAGGAGTCATAAACTCGAATGTCATTGGAGGCCCAATGGGTGGGCACTAGAGCGAGCAGCTTCTGCCCTGCCCCCCAGCTCCAGATGAGTATGGTCATACCAGAATGTTGGCCCAGTGTTGCCAGGTTAGGGTTTTTTTTTTTTTGGCTGTGCTGTGTGGCTTGTGGAATCTTAGTTCCCTGATCAGGGATCAAACCCAGGCCCTTGGCAGTGAAAGCATGGAGTCTTAACCACTGGACCACCAGGGAATTCCCGAGAAGCTGGAAATCTTGATTTCGATGTCGAGTTCCCTGATTTTAAATGTTAGCAAAAATAGCACAGGGAGGGCTTCCCTGGTGGCGCAGTGGTTGAGAGTCCGCCTGCCGATGCAGCGGGCACGGGTTCATGCCCCGGTCTGGGAAGATCCCACATGTCGCGGAGCGGCTGGGCCCGTGAGCCATGGCCGCTGAGCCTGCGCGTCCGGAGCCTGTGCTCTGCAACGGGAGAGGCCACAACAGTGAGAGGCCCGTGTACCACAAAAAAAAAAAAAAAAAAAAAAAAAAATAGCACAGGGAACTCTTCTTAATATTCTGTAATAACCTAAAGGGGAAAAGAATTTGAAAAGAATAGATACTTGTATATGTATAGCAGAATCACCTTGCTGTACACCTGAAACTAACACAATATTGTTAATCAACTATACTCCAATATAAAAAAAAATGTTCGGAACAAATTCGGAATTTTTAAAGAATGTCTTATGAACAATGGGCCACCATTTTGCCACCCCTAGTATGGCAGAACCACATGGATCTGGGCTGTCATCTGGCTTTGTTACATATTAGCAAGTTGCAGCACCTTCCTTAGACTCAGTTTCTCTCATCCATAAGGTGGGGATAATTGTAATTTAACCCCTTAAGTTTGTTGAGGAGGACTAAATGAAATGTTGCATTTAACACAGTGTCTGTGAGTGTTCAGTAAATGAGAGAAACCAAAACACCATGATTTACTTGCAGAGAAGTAAGCATGCAGCTAATTTTGCTAATGAGAATTACCTTCTCAATGATAGTATAGGTCTGTGCTATTCAATATAGGAGCCATTAACCACATGTGGCTATTTCAATGTAAATATGAAGTAATTAAAACAACAAAAAATGCAGCTCCTCAGTCATATGACCCAAGTTCTCAGTAGCCACATGTGGCTGATGGCTGCCATATTGGACAGCACAGATAACATTTCCATTAGCATGGAAAGTTCTCTTGGACCACGCTGCTGTAGGATATTTGAGGACAGGGTGATGTCTTATCCCTGTGGAACTTGCCCAGAGCTGGGCCTCAAAGGACAACCAGCAGATAACTAGATCCCCGTCTCGTTGTCTGGTACCACCATCCTGACACCTGTCAACCTGGACCATTCCTGCAACTTCACAGTCCACCCAATCAATGCCCAAGTCTTGTCAATTTCCACTCCTTATTTCTCTGGTATGTCCTCTCGCTTTTCTCCATTCCAGCTGCAAAGTCTTTGCCACCACCTGACTTGGCTATGGCCCACTCCCTGCCATTGTCCACCCTACCCCCAGGATGATTTTTAAATTTTTATTATTTATTTATTTTTAATTTTAAAATAAATTTATTTATTTATTTTTGTCTGTGACAGGTCTTTGTTGCTGTGCACAGGCTTTCTCTAGTTGTGGCGAGTGGGGGCTACTCTTCATTGCAGTGCATGGGTTTCTCATTGCGGTGGCTTCTCTCGTCGCGGAGCACAGGCTCTAGGCATGCGGGCTTCAGTAGTTGTGGCATGCGGGCTCAGTAGTTGTTGCTCGTGGGCTCTAGGGCGCAGGCTCAGTAGTTGTGGCACTTGGGCTTAGTTGCTCTGCGGCATGTGGGATCTTCCCGGACCAGGGATTGAACCCGTGTCCCCTGCATGGGCAGGTGGATTCTTAACCACTGCGCCACCAGGGAAGTCCCAGGATGATTTTTTAAAAGGCGTCTGACTCTGTCACTCCCTTCTTTTTATTTGTTTATTTATTTGGCCGCGCTTGGTCTTAGTTTTGTCACTCGGGATCTTCGTTGCGGCTTGTGGGAACTTTTAGTTGCGGCATGCGAACTCCTAGTTGAGGCATGTGAGATCTAGTTCCCTGACCAGAGATCGAACCTGGGCCCCCTTCACTGGGAGCGCAGAGCCTTAGCCACTGGCCTAACAGGGAAGTCCCCGTTACTCCCTTCTTAAAACTCTTCAGTGGCTTCCACAGCTTTCTTGACACAACAGTGCAAAGGTCTCCTCTCTCACTTTGTCTCCCCGCTTATGTCTCTCATTTCTCTGAATTCACTACTCACTTCCTAATGTTGCCTGGGGTCTCAGGTAAGATAGCCCCTCCTGGAGGCTTCCCTGACGCCCCGAGGCTGAGTTGAGTGCCCCTGTACCCTTCCAGCCCCATGTGCTTTCCCTTCTGTCACTCTCTCTTTGCTGTGTCGTTGATGTGTCTGTTCACATCCCCCGCTAGACGTTTGGTCCCTGAAGACTGCGACGCTTTGCTGCTGCATTTTCAGCACTTGGCACGGTGCTGGGCACACCGCAGACACCTCCAACGTACTGACTGAAGAGATAAAGACTGGCAGGTGGCACACGCTCAGTTGAGCACAGGCTCAGTGTTTGCGGAGGTGCCTGATTGTTTAGACTTAGGTAGATGGGGAATGGGGGGACAGGGTGAGATTCACAGGAAGGCACGTGGATAACAGTGCCATGTCTTTCTTTCCAAACAGCGGGCAGGCTCTGGGTCTCGGCGAGATCAGGCCAGGCAGCTGATCATAGATCTAGAGACCCGAGGGAGTCGGGCCCTTCCGTTGTTCATCTCCTGCTTAGAGGACACAGGCCAGGACACTCTGGCTTCGTTACTGAGAACCAGTAGACAAGCAGCAAAGCAGGATCCAGAGGCCATCAGACCCCTGAACCTCAAGCCTGTGGTGATCGGACCAGTGAGCCTCAAACCAAAGGAGCTGAGAGGGGCGAAGCAGGATCCATCGAAGCCGAGCCAAGGAAAACTCGCTCCAGTGGTGCTGGGGCCTGAGGAGCTCTGGCCAGCCAAGCTCAGGCCCGAGGTTCTCAGACCAGAGGCACCCAGGCCAGTGGACATTGGTTCTGGAGGATTCAGTGAAATCCGTGAGTACCAAGAGTGGGTGGTGGGTGGGTGTACTGAGCGGTCATTGAGGAGTGACCAGTGGTACAGCTGGGTAGGGTGAGGTTTAATTTAATTTTGGTGTTGTCTTTCTGAGTACTCGTAGGGGATGGGTGGACTGTTCTGGTAGGTCTTCAGGAGAGCCCCTGCTCTGAAAAGCATGTGTTGAAGTCTGTTTTGGATGTTGCAGGTTTTGATCAGTATTTCCAGATCAAGCTATTGTTTAGGATTTTGCCTTTGGTTCCAGGTGGGTGGTGTGGACTAGCCCAGGCCTGGGGGCAGGAAGGAGGCAGCTGCCTGTCAAGAGTCTGCCCCAAGCAGGCACCGTACATACCCTTACCTCCTTCCCTCACAACAACCCTGCAAGGCATGGGAAACTGAGGCTCAGGGAGGTTAAATCATCACCCAAGGTCACAAAGCTGCATCCGGTAAAATGCAGAAATCCAAAGAGTGCAGCTGGATGATTTTTACCTATGTGTACACACAGATAACCAAACCCCAGATCATGAAGACATAGAACATTCTATGGGGGTGGTGGGGGGTTGTGGTGGTGAGATGAATTGGGAGATTGGGATTGACATATATACACTAATATGTGTAAAATAGATAACTAATAAGAACCTGCTGTATTAAAAAAACAAAGTTAAAAAAATTGCATTTTCTACTTAAGGAATTTAAAACAAAACAAAAAACAAACATAGAACATTCTGGTGTCCTATAACACTCTCTTGTACCTCTTTGCAGTCTATTCCCACTCTTACCCCATCCAGGGGTATCACTGTTCTGAGCTCCGTTGTCATAGATCCCTTTTGCTTGTCCTTGAACTTCAATATAAATGAAATCCTATGTAAACTTTGAGTCTGGATTCTCTTGCCATCATTATGTTTGTGAAACTCATTCATGTGGTTGTGCATATCAGTAGTTAGTTCTTTTTCATTACAAGGTAGTTCTTATTCTGAATCATCCACAATTTATTTAACCGTCTCTTGTTGATGGACATGTGGTTTTTTGTTAGGGCTTCGTTTCCATGGCAGCACATGGAGATCCAGCACATCCTATTTCATGGATGCCTAGTGGGCCATTGCATGGATGCTAATAATAATAATAGTAGTAGTGGTTAACCTTACTGAGTGCTTACTTTTTGCAAGGCACTGTTTGGAGTGCTCAATAAATGATTTATTATATTTATTTATTTATTTATTTTTGGCTGCGTTGGGTCTTCATTGCTGCACGTGGGCTTTCTCTAGTTGCGGCGGGCGGGGACTACTCTTCACTGCAGTGCTCGGGCTTCTCATTGTGGTGGCTCCCCTGTGTTGGGGAGCATGGGCTTTAGGCGTGTGGGCTTCAGTAGTTGTGGCACGTGGGCTCAGTAGTTGTGGTTCGAGGGCTCTAGAGTGCAGACTGAGTAGTTGTGGGGCACGGGCTTAGTTGCTCCGTGGCATGTGGGATCTTTCTGGACCAGGGCTTGATCCCGTGTCGCCTGCATTGGCAGGCGGATTCTTAACCACTGTGCCACCAGGGACGTCCCCTCAATTAAATTAAATGATTTAATTTAATCTTACCAACTCTCTTGTAAGGTAGGTGCTACAGTTTTCCCAATTTACTGTTTTTTTTGTTATTGTTTTTGTTTTGTTTATGTTTTTTGGCCGCGTCTCTCCGCTTGCAGGATCTTAGTTCCCCCACCAGGGATTGAACCCAGGCCATGGCAGTGAAAGTGCAGAGTCCTAGCACTGGACTGCCAGGGAACTCCCCAGTTTACTGTTGAGCAAAGTGAGTGACAGATTGAGAAATGACTTGCCCCAAATCACATAGTTAGTGAGATATGGAAACAGGACTGCAGTCCAGGCTTCCCCACTGTCTGCTCTGCTGTATGGTCTCACATGTACTTTGCACTGTATTTCATTTATCCAACCTCTGTTAATGGACATTTGTGTTGTTTCTGCAGTGGCCTTGCATGTTCATCTATCTCCGACTGGGGGTATGTTTCTAGAAATGGAATTGCTGGGTTAAAGTGTACATGTTCCCATCTGATAGATGCTGCCAACTTGGACTTCAAAAACAAGCCATTTTGTAATCACACCAACCATGAGTGAAGGAGACCATTTTCCCACACTCTTGCCAACAATGAGTATTAACATTTTTTCCTATGTGATGGGCAAAAAGTGGTATCTGTTTTCTGTGCTGGATAACTGCATGATTTTGGATGACTCATTAACACAGAGAAGCAAACATACATACTGAGGGTCTGGGGAAGAAGACCAGTTCTGGAATTGTTCATGTGCATTATTATTCTACCATTAGGGAGGGAGGCAAAATACAAAGTCCAACTGTTGCTATCTTGTTCGGGGAAATGTCAGTTTGAGTGATTTAGGGCCAACAGTCTTGACTTAAAGCTTCCTGGTCTTGTGTGAGTTATTTTATTTCCTGTTTGTTGTGAATATTTTTTCCCAGTGGGAGCTTAAATCTGAAGGGTAAATGATTAACAATAATAAGATCACTTTAAAATGTATATATTGATACACAGTGCTGTATTCTGTATACACAGAACTGTATTGATACACAGTGCTTTTTCAGGTCATCAGAACAACGCTGTGCAGTGGTAGACAGGGCAAGCTCCTCTGTTATCATGCCCCATTTATAGGGGAGGAAGCTGGGCTCTGAGAGCAACTCAGTCACAAAGCAAGTTCAAGGTCAGAGCTAGGACTTGGGCCTTGGTCTCCTGGCTTAATAGAGCGACTGCCCCATCCACCCATGATCTGCTGAAGGATGTCGCTCTTAGGTGCTGGGCTGGAGGCTCCTAAGTACTGCACAGGAATGTTTCCCAAGGTAGGTTTCATGGTGACCCACAAAGGAAGAGTTCTGTAGTCATACCAGTGGATGAGTAGGATTAGGGCCACCAGCTGGACTTCTCAGAGCCTTTAATAAGTTAATATGGGAAAGTGTGCTCTAGGTCAAGGTTTCTCAAGGGGGAGGGGCAATCTCCCCTCCCCACAAGAGACATTTGGCAATGTCTAGAGACATACTTGGTTGTTACGACTGAGGGTGGGTGAGTGCTGTTGGCCTCTAGTGGGTAGAGGCCAGCGATGCTGCTAAACATCCTACAATGCACAGGACAGCCCCATAACAAAGAATAATCTGGCTTAAAATGTCAAGAGTGCTGGGGTTGTATATACATACTGCTCTGGAATATGAGAGTTAATAATAATCATAGCTAAGCTCACTTTTATTAAGTTGTCAAATGTGTCGGCTTTTATGTACCTCACATGTACTAATGAACTGAGGCATCACCGCAGCCCTATGAGGTTGGTAGTTGCTCCTCTTATCCAATAATACAGATGGGAACCGTAGAGGCCCCGAGACTGAATAACTTGTCCAATGTCACGCAGCTGGTAAGTGGTAGAGTAGGGATTTGAAACCAGGGACTCTGGCTCCAAAGTCCAGATCCACTCCATCTACTGCCTCATAAAGAACTAATTCTCTCATTCTCTTTCTTGTTCCTGTTTTTTGTGCCATTTACTCATTAGTTCACTCAGATATTTACTGAGTACTTGCTGAGACCTAGGCATCAGCCTGGTGTTGGGGACGCAGCATTAAACAAAGCTGCAGAGTCCATGCCTTCACATGGGAGGGTCAGACATTCAATCCATGCCTGCATAACTGGGTCTTTAATCACTGCTGTGGTTAGTGCCTCAAAGAAATTGAATACAGTGCTTTGGGGGACTTACCAGAGTGGGTGGCTTTGTCTTTTTTTTTTTTTTTTTTGCGGTACACGGGCCTCTCACAGTTGGTGGCCTCTCCCGTTGCGGACGCACAGGCTCAGCGGCCATGGCTCACAGGCCTAGCCGCTCCGCGGCATGTGGGATCTTCCCGGACCAGGGCACGAACCCGTGTCCCCTGCATCGGCAGGCGGACTCTCAACCACTGCGCCACCAGGGAAGCCCGGCTTTGTCTTTTGATGTTCGGTGGGAAATGCCTTTTCCTTCAGAGTGGAATTAACTTCCTTAGTTTTGGACATGATGCCTTGTCACTGCTTGTCTCAGCCAGGACCGCTTGCAGGGGGCAGGCTGGGAGAGCTGTTGGTGGCGGCATGAGTCAGGGTTCTCCAGAGAAACAGAATATAGATGTAGGGATGTATAAAGAGATTTATTATAAGGAGTTGGCTCACGTGATTGTGGAGGCTGAAAGGTCCACAATCTGCTCTCCTAGAGACCCAGGAAAGCCCACGGTATATTTGTGGTCCAAGTCCAGAAGCCTGAGAACCAGAGAGCTGATGCTGTACATTCCAGTCTGGGGGCGGAAGACCCATGACCAGCTCAAAGTCAGGCAGAGAGTGAGTGAATTCTCCCTTCCTCCACCTTTTTGTTCCATTCAGGCCCTCAACGGATTAGATGGTGCCCACCCACCGTGGGGAGGGTGATCTGTTTACTCATTCTGGAGATTGAAATGCTCATCTCATCCAGAAACATCCTCCCAGACATACCCAGAAATAATGTTTAAGCAAATATCTGGGCATCCTGTAGTCCAGTCAAGCTGACACATAAACATAAATTGGCCATCATGGTGGCCTGCTTACCTGGGCTAAAACTTTCTTGAAAGTTGGCTTTTTAGCCCTACCTGGTCTTCTGGCCCCTTCACCGTGGAGCTGGTGACTGTGTTCACCTTCTATTAACAGTCAAGCTCTCTGAGTCTCCAGTTCCCCTCTGGCAGCTGGGGATAAATGACAGTCCTTCGCAGCTGCAAGGCCTGCTCCGAGGAGTCAGTGAAGCCATTCTTGGAAAAGACTTCACGTGGGGCCTTGCCTCGGGCGAGCACTCAGGCTGGTTGGCTTCCTTCTGTGATTTCTGAGTTGGCAAGGGCCGGCGCTAGGACATCTACCTCTCCTTCCCTTGGGCAGCAGAGAGGATGTGCTTCCCCCCTTCTCGTTGTGCTGGAGACATGGGCATATGCCCAGTAACGCTCAGGCTATGACTGATTCTTTTGCACA